AAATAAAATAATCGGTCTTGCCTCAGGAGGGATGTTAACAATACCCTTTACCTCTTTCATCTGTAATGCATGTTTTCCAGGCGTTGGAATTGCACTTGTTACTGTGCCTGAAAAAAGAGGAAGAGTTATTTTCATAGACAAACAAGGTCTTTGTTATCCAAACATATCAATAGGAAATATATTGGAAATGTCACCTTTGATACCATTGCTGCCAGTATGGTTAGAGGCAGCAGCAGGCACAGTCTCATTCTCATCATTATCACTTTCTTCATCCTCATCTTCCTCAGTGCTAGGCTCATCATCACCAACAACATCTTCATCCATATGCTCATCTTCTTGTTCTTCATCTTCATCTTCATCTTGATCTTTAACACTATCTTCCTTGTGTTCTTGTACAAAAGGGATAAAAATCTTTAAAATATTACCATGTACACTGAGATTTTCATAACTAGTTCTGAGCTAATGCATACTCCTTTTTCTGAACTTCTTTGGTATATTTTTTAAAGGTTTTAAAACAACTGATTAAAAATAATACTACAATGTTTGCATGCTTTTGATTAATACTTTCAAAAATTCTCTGGTTTTGGGGTATGATAGAAGGAACAGCAGACAATAGAAAGAGAGAAGATTGAAACTGGATTTCTACTACTTCTACAAAGAACGTACAAAATAGAAGTTCAACATTCAAGTGCTTTTAGTGTTTGAGCAACTCACTCAGTTCCTCTTGGGGTTCTTTCTTAACATTCAGCTGTTTGATTGCTGTGTTTGTTGCCACATCTCTGTTATTTCCACTGACTTCAGATCTTGTCGTGTCAGGATGATGTCTAGTTGTCTGGTGCAAAGATAGTCAATTATATATTAGTACCCTTATTTATAATTTCTTTTGAATGGTACGTTTGGATGGAGTAAAAGTAGATCAGGAAAATAATATGCAGTTTTATTATGAAAATAATTTTGAGCAAAATTCAATTTAATCAATTTCTATTTATATAGCACCAAACCATAAAAACATTCACCTCAAGTTGGACAGTTTTAATTTGAAAGCAATTTTAAACAAGATCCGTTTGAAACACATGTTCAAGTGT